GTACTAGGAATATTTACAACATATTATACTATATCATAACAGAATCACTCACCATGAGATCCGACAAACGTTGCCATTGTCATCAAGGTGAAGAAGCTTGTGATGTCGCAACGACATGACGTACATTTATGTCCTATGATGTGCTTGTATAAAATGCAAGGGCATTCATATCTTTTGTATTTATAAATTAGTGTGTGCGTGTGTGTGTTTGTGTGTGTGTTTGTGTGTGTGTGTGTGTGTGTGTGTGTGTGTGTGTGTGTGTGTGGTATGTGCACGTGAACGTATGTATGTGGTAAGAAAGGTTTGTATGTATGTATGTATGTATGTATGTATAATGTGTATATTTACAATAGGTAAGCTTATTGTTATCCTGTAGCCTACCTGGTAACGAATGCCTTCTGCACTTTCATCCAAGGCCTAAATTTAGTTATTCATTATCTCAAGCCCTGGAGTGGAAGGAGGAAGTCCAGTATTGCCATGTACGGTACAGCCTTGGACTGTATTGCATGGTGTTTGTTTTTGTAAGTGTGAGTGTCTATGAGAGCATTGGTAATGTTGTGTACTGATTCTCAGTTCGAGGGGGTGTCAAAACTATACAGGGTGTTGTTTTAGTAAAAGTTGAAACTTCACTCTGCACAGCTATTAAATTGATATGATGGAAATGATTGTAATACGGGTAGATATTTATTGCTCATTGGAAGAGTTTAAAATATTGTCTTACTATTACTGGTGAAAAATGTCATCATGTACTGTAATAAATAACTTGCCAACTGTTTGAAATCTACGTGTATGTCTTCTTTCACGTTTTTTGAAGTTTTAGTAAGTCTTTTACGGCACATGCAACACAATACGGTCATATAAGTGCAGAAAACTAGAGGTGTTACGAGAGAGTAATAAACACAAAAAAGAAGGAGTGAAGACCATAGATGTTTGATAAGAAAGAAGAAGCAACCCGTACGAGAGCACCCGCCAACCACCCACGGTTTGTGAGGAAGCACTTAAGATTAAAAGGTCAATGAAATAGAACGTTCGAGTAAACAAAGTGATTGCATGCATGATGTCAAAAAACAAATAACTAAATAAATGTAGACTTTTTACGTATTTACAGAGAAACTACGACTACTTTCGTGTTCCTTAGAGTTTTATGGCACTTGCAACACAATAAGGTCATATAAGTGCCAAAGATTAGAGGTGTTTGTTTCAAGGGAGTAACAAACACAAAAAAGGAGGAGAGATAAGGACAAAAAATGTTCGATAGGAAAGAAGGAAAAAAACACACCAGAGCACTCTCCAACCGCCCACTAAAAGAGACTGAGTAGGATGAATATAAACAGTTTGTGAAAACAGAGTAAGCCTAACTCCATCAATTTCGCTTTGGTTTGGTTTTCATAACAATTTTACAGCACTTGCAACATAAATAGGTTGAAGGAGGTACAAGTGAGTAACATAACATAGAAAAGAAAAATCAAATATGAGGACGATAGATATTTACTTAATAGGAAAGAAAGAGCAAACCACGCTAGTGCCCTCGCCAACCACCCACAGTGATACAAGTATTATAAGAAAAGTGCGTGTATAGAGTGACAACATTAGTGATGTAAGACATTTCTGCAAACAGAAAAAGTTCATGCACACTGTATGTCCGAAACTCAAGGCAGGGGATGCCAAATTTATCTCTGCTTTGTCACAAACTCATTACATGTACCACAAATTATGTCTGAAAGGCAGTTGCATTTTCATATTACAAACCGTTACCTGTACTAAGAATGGTTATGGTATGTATGAAGTTTACAAGCATCATGAACTCAATGTTGAGCACACTGGGAAAAGATCCAGCCTTTGCTTCATCTCCCAAGGCCTCATCATCAAATCTTTCCTGTCATCAAATTTACTCATATTGCAACCCTTTACTGTCTCATCGCAAGCCCAGCCTCTGTACTGTCCCATTTGCAACCCCGTCCTTTCTCATATAACAATTCCGTTCTGTCCCATTTCACTACCACGCTTTGTGAAATATCACTACTCCATCCTGTCCCCTATATATTTTGGTGTCATGTCTCTCCTTTCATCAACTGTCTTCTCCCTTCCTCCCTATCCCCCACCGCCTTTTTTTTCATCATATCTTTCTCTCCGAGTCCGCATTACCAAAGTAAATCAAAGCATTAATGTATCGTGAAGCAATAAGTGTTCCAGACACTTCTAATAATACATGACACATGTGTCAATGATGCACTCTGACACACATGCTTGTGACACTATGATTGAATTATACACATTAATCGCATGATGTATTTGTGACATCATGGCTTTGTGACCTTGACACTTTGTGACATAATGTGCTTGAGATTGCAACATCATGAGCTTGGGGTGACATAATCCATAGAATCACAGGCGATTTCCAGGTTGAGAACCATGGATACAGGGAGCATGGAAGTGGAACCAAATTAGACAAAAGAATATTAATCCACAGACAGGAAAAAGGCTAAAACAGCACCTGTATATGGATGGCTGGTGCCTCTATAGATAAATTATTGAAGGTCAGGTCGGGTGACATAATGATTTCGTGATTGCAACACTGTAGTTGTATTATATGTGACAAATACGGAGACAATGCAAAAAATGAATGAAGACAGAGCGAGAGTTAATTTCTTTTTTGAATGTTGCAAGTGTTTAATATACAAACTGTTGTTTCCATGTCAACATGCTGGGCCAGTCATAGATCATAATGACATACCACAAATAGAAACAAAACTATCGGCATGTTTGAGACTTGCGTAACAATGACATAGTGAGATCTCAAAAAGCCAAAATCCCTCTGTCCAGATCCATGGTTTAGTCAAAATGTCAGTGTCAGAAAATATCAGCCTAGCCCTCCCTCAAAAACAAACCTGCCCCCATCCATAGTGACAAATTACAAGACAAAAGGGCTCTTTCTGAACGAAGACCATAAATCACAACATGCAAAAATAAAACGTCACACCCCAGTACAAAAATGCACCTCACGCAGAACACTATTTCTAAAATTGTAGTGGTGGAATAAATTGGGCACAATTTTCTGCATTTCTATCTATTTATCAGTTATTGGAGAGCATAATGAACTTTAATCCAAGTGTCACGCTTTGCGTGGTATTTGAAAAAAAGAAGTCATTGCTCCAGTCATAATAAACTCAACCCACAACTACAGGTACAACCTATGGAATGCATGTCATGTTACAGTGATCAGCGCAGAGTTGGGGAAAAATTTATAAGAGGCTTTCTCTCCGTGTCGGTAATTGCGAAAAAAATATGAGCGGTGTCAAGGTGAAATCAAAATACTGAAATCAAAGAAACCGAAATTTTTCCCTTATCAGACAATTTTTATTGAGGGTTTTTTTTTTGGCTCAACACCTTTTATGTCCACTTAATAGCAGATTTCAGCCTGGATTTTACTGAAAGGCATCAATCAAAGGCATAAAAAAAATATAAATTTCTAAGCTTAAGCTTTGGAATTCACCAAACTTTGATAGTCATTTTCTTGCATATTTTACTTTTGACTTTGACACCAGGTAACCCCTATCTCCCTAAATCAAAAATATCTCAACACCTATTCAAGATAGATGTCTATATTTTTCATTAATAGCAAGACAAACAAACAAGCTTTAAGATGATACCAAAAACCTTATATGCCCAAAAATTGATGAGCGCCTGATTCCACTGTATCGTGACACATATAATAACAACTGTTGTTTGTACAACACTTGTCAAAGGTGCTGGGTAGGAAGTGTGGGTAGGAGGGGGGAGGGGGGGAGGAGATTTCAGCCTCATTCTCTGTGTTGTTACTTATACAGTAGTTGTGAAATATGAACTGGCTGTCTGTGGAGCAACTTGACTAGGGCCCTGGATAAACCCTCTGTCTCCCCAGCAAACACTGACAACAGTACCAAGTAGCTAATACTTCCAAGGACAAAATAGCCATTTTACCTTCCCAATATTACATCTGGTACAAATAAATAACTTGTTAAGTATCTATAATGTCTCAGTCAACAACTTTGATAGTCTGTGGATGACCAGTCTGGCCGGCCAGTGGTTTGAATGTTTGACCGGCGTTGGATGAGGTGCCAGGTAGTCCAGCAGAGCCCAGTCTGCCCTGTTCAGTGCCTGACTCTCTGAGGGACTTGCTTGACTGCTCGTTACTGGCTGACCTTGGGTACTTACTGGCAGTCGCTCGGCCCACGGTCTGCTGGATATAGTGATACAAAAACATTATAATAGATGGACAAAATGTTTTCAGTTTTAAATTTTAGTTTTTAGTTTTAGAATGAGTTTTAAAGCACTTGCAACACAAGTAGGTCATATATGTGTGAGGAAGATAAGAAGTGTTCCTAGAGAGTAATATATACCAAAAAAAAGATGGAGGAGAGATAAGGATGACAGACATTTGATAGAAAAGAAGGAGCAAACCACACCAGTACCAGAAATCCATGAACCACCCATGGACATAAAGATGAAAACATTATAATAGACGAACAAAATAGACAGCAGAACACATTACAATAGGTAGACAAAAAAGACAAACAAGAAAACAAAACAGCAAGTTTAGTTTGAGATTTAAGTTAAAAGAAGCTCAAAGATATATGGGACAAGGAAAAACTAAGACAGACAGATAGATAGAAACAACAGAAAGAAAGAAAAGAAGAAGGACCTACAAGTTGCCCCCTCCAAACACTTGCACCTTACTATTGAACAAGATAGAAGATACATGGTGGAAAGATGACTGGGGGGCTAGGTTGAGGGACAGGTTTTTTTGTTGTTTTTTCCAGAGACAAGAAAGAAATCTACCTAGCATTGAGAATTGAAGTATCAGGACACTAAACTATACATGCCCATCAATTGATAAGTTATTTACTTTCACTTCTTTAGTTGTTATTTTTCTGACAGGGGTCGTCATACTAAGGACTCAAAGAAAATCGAGGCTCAATTAAACAATTGAAATTCTATGACACAGCTTACAAGTCAGTGAAGAGTGTGGTTTTATAGAGTTTCAGTAACCTTAGTAACAAGGGAGGCCACTTGGTCTCTCAATAATTTCATCAATCTTAGTCAAAAGGAAGTCATCATCATCATCAGTGCCTTTCACCCCTGGCAGGGTATAGGCCTCATACAAGCTCCTTCCACTTATCTCTATCCTGGGCCATCCTTCTTAGCTTGTTCCAAGTGAGCTTCATCTCTCTCATGTCCCTTTCCACACATCTGTATGTTTCCCTTGGCCTACCCCTGCCTCATGCTCCATGTGGGTTCCACTGCAGTGACTGTCTCGTGATGTTTCCGCTGGGCTTTTACAAGGTGTATCCCATCCATCACCATTTTCTTAGTCTTACTTCTACTTCTATATCCTTTCATCCTGTCCTTTCCCACAGCTCTTCTTTTCTTATTCTATCCTGCCACTTAATTCTTAGTACAGTCCATGCCGGTTTTAAGCACGGTCGTCAGGAGAAAGCTTAAGCGTGCTTAAAGTCGAAGCGTGCTTGAGTACGAAGTAGACATAATCCAGGGATTTTCAAGTAGAAAATTTCCTGTTCTATTTTCCTTTGTTTGTAAGTAGGCCTATAGCGGTCCAACAAAAGTGTGCATTGTTATTTAGACACCCGCCATGGTAGTTTTTGTTGATTTGTTTGTTTTTGTTTTGTGGTCGAATGGGAAATGAAAACTTAATTTAGACGGCCAGTCACAATACAGCATACTAAGCCTACACACTGCCTGTGCGTACCACTGCCCGCTGTGCCACTCATACCACCGCCTTCATCCCACCTCGCGCGTGATACACAATCAGGATTAATGGATAGCGAGGGTCAAAGGTGAAATCGCAGCCAGCCTCCCTTTCTCTTCTCCCCGACTCTCTTTGTACTTTTTTGGGGTCGTGTGTAGCTTGGCCCTAGGCCTAGGCTAGATCCTATGTCCGCATGCATGGCTGTGTGCATCTGCCTTCCTCTCCGCCCGTGTGAGAGTGTGTGTCCGTGTGAGAGTGTGTGTCCATCACTTGTGTTCTTTGTGTTTCTCTTGACACACTCCACTGCTGCGGTGTAGACTGTGTTCGAACTTTGATGGGTCATCATGAAAATATTGACTGTCTTGTAAATGAAGCGTGCTTGAAGCCGAAGTTACCATGCTTAAAGGCGTGTAATTTATATAGAAAAATTTTGGTAAGAGCCGTTTAGCGTGCTTGAGTCCGAAACGTGCTTTAAGCCGGCGTGCTTAAAGCCGGCACGGACTGTATACTCCTCATACATCTGTTGATGAAAGTCTGGACTTTATTCAGCACTGTCTTTGTTGTCTTCCAAGTTTAGTAGCCATAAAGGATCACATTGGAATCAAAGAATCAAATCTTGGGGAGCAGTGAGATGTTGCTTGCTTTCCAGACATTTGATAATTGATTGAATGCTGATCTTGCCTTTGCGGTTCTTGCTTTTACATCTGCCTCAGTTCCACCTTTACCATTGATGACATTTCCAAGGTAGGTAAAGGAGTCCACTTCTTCTAGGGCAGTGTCTTCCACTGTCACAGCAGGGCTTGACACTTTTCCTAGCTTCACTACTTTCGACTTGCCCGGATGTATACGTAGGTCTACACTCCTTGATAGGAAGTAGCTGATCATTGACTCGGTATCATGCTGAATCACAGAGAGGATAGCCCTGGTTCGAATCCCCAATGGAGCGTTCTGAATTTGGGGAGTTTTGGGGAGTTTTTAAGGCCCTACCCCCTTTGGCTCAGTCCTATCAGAGATACACATTAAATTCGGAGGTCCTGCCTCTTGGGTAAACTTACAGTGTTAAGAGGGGCTTTAAACCTATAAAAGTTCACATGTACCTAGGAACATGATTTATTCTTTCAACAGTTTTATGTTGGCCTCCAAAAATGACCCACACAGCTTCCAAAGGATTGTTGTCTCCTTTTATAGAAATGTCTGTGCTATGAAATATGTGTTTTACTAAAGAACTGTTGTTTTCCCATCCATCCATCCATCCATCTATCCATCCATCCACCCATCCATCCGTCCATCCACCAATCCATCCAGCCAACCAGTCAGCCATCCCTCTTGTATGTATATATATA